GATAATAGGGTTGTGCAGGCAGCCTTAATTCTGGCATTTCCAAAGTTTTGAGTGCTTGACTTAGCAACCCAATAATGTTTTTTTAACATTTGTTTTTGGATGTCAGTACTTACAGACAGTGAAATTCTCCCTTGTGCAGAGGTCATAGAATCATAGAATAACAGAGTTGGAAGAGACCTCTGGAGGCCATCTAGTCCAACCCCCTGCCCAGAGCAGGACCAATCCCAACTAAATCATCCCAGCCAGGGCTTTGTCAAGCCTGACCTTAAAAACTTCTAAGGAAGGGGAATCCACCACCTCCCTAGGTAACGCATTCCAGTGTTTCACCACCCTCCTAGTGAAAAAGTTTTTCCTAATATCCAACCTAAACCTCCCCCACTGCAACTTGAGACCATTACTCCTTGTCCTTTCATCTGCTATCACTGAGAATAGTCTAGATCCATCCTCTTTGGATCCACCTTTCAGGTAGTTAAAAGCAGATATCAAATGCCCCCTCATTCTTCTCTTCCGTAGACTAAATAATCCCAGTTCCCTCAGCCTCTCCTCATAAATCATGTGTTCCAGACCCCTAATCATTTTTGTTGCCCTTCGCTGGACTCTCTCCAATTTTTCCACATCCTTCTTGTAGTGTGGGGCCCAAAACTGGACACAGTACTCCAGATGAGGCCTCACCAATGTCGAATAGAGCGGAACGATCATGTCCCTCGATCTGCTGGCAATGCCCCTACTTATACACCCCAAAATGCCATTGGCCTTCTTGGCAACGAGGTCACACTGTTGACTCAACAAGGGCACACTGGTCCAGCGTATTGCCTCCAAACCACTTAAGTCCTAAATTAATGGGCAATAGGTCCATCAATGGCTATTAGCCAAGATGGTCAGGGGCACAACTCCATGCTCTGGGTGTCTCTAAACCTCCAATTGCCAGACGATGGGATTGGATGACAAGATGAATCACTCAAAATTTTTCTGTTCATTCCCTGTTCTATTCATTCACTCTGAAGCATCTGGTATTGGCCACTGCCAGAAGACCGGATGCTGGGCTGGATGGCCCATTGGTCTGCTGTAGTATGGCCGCTCTTACGTTAAGGTCGTAAATGGGGCTTTGGTGGTGCACAGGCATCAGGCTGGCTCCCTGCAGGGGGTGCATGTCGTGCATAGTGCTCCAAAGCATGTCAGGTGCTTTTCAGACCTATAATAAACAGGACCCTGCCCTACAGAGCTCACCATCTAAAGGCGAGGGGGGGCAGGAAAGCCCAGTTGTTCATCTCAGTGTTTTCAGTGTCTTTTACCCTTCTCTGATTATATTAGCTTTGCTAGTTTTAGCCCATTCCTTTTTTTTATTTCTCACCCACTCCACCACCCCCCCACCACTCGCCCCACCGCTCCCCCATTCCAGGTTTTTATTCTGTTAGTTTTGTTTTAGGAGAAAGACAGAAACACATGGACATTACCACCGTGGAGTGCCCCAATGGCCCCTGTATCCAGTAGCCTGACCCCTGGTGCCAGCTGCATCAGAGGAAACCCTTGAGCCACAATAGACAAGAGCTATCTGCAGAACCAGTCAATATGGAAAGGCTTTGTGTGATGGCTCCCCTTCCACATACCCTCCCTTCCAAGTACACCGCAGTCTCCAGCTGGGCCCTGACAGATCTCCAGAAATACCATCACAAATGCTTTTCCTAATATAGACCTTCAGCTTACAGGCGGTGAGGTTCAGCCTTTCTTTGTAACTATTGGAACCATATCTGCTGCGGGGGGAGGAGATCTGTTGTTTTGTTTACTCATTTGGTCTTTCTCCAGAATTGAAAGTTGTCCTAAAAATAGCTGTTACCAGATCAGTACACAATCCACATCAGCTCTGGCTGTACCACAGCCTAGGCGGGGCTTTGGCTAGTCAGGCCTTCTCCCAACACCAGCTGCTGGGCAGAAGTTGCCCAGTTTGCCATTGCCATCCCATTTCTAATACTGCATCTTCTAAACCCTCGGCTTGAGGGGTCCCAGCTGGGCCTGGGGTCTTGCTTCAGCCAGGCTTGACAGGCAGGGTATTGAGCTGACCAGGTTTTCACATCATGTCCCAGGATCTTCGTTCTGCACCCCTGAAACCTCCATTATTCCCTGGGCGTTTGCCATGTTTGTTCTGGGTACTCTGCAGATTGAGGGGTGTTTGCACTGTGTGAACAGGAGCTGATGCATCGCTCTGGGAGTGGAGGGTGGGTGCTCAATCATTCAGAGCACTGCGCTCTGCCGCTTGCAAGGAGTGTGAGTGAGACTTGGCACTGCTGCTGAGAATCTCGCTCAGCCCCTGAGTTACTGGAGAAAACCCAGGCAGCGCCCTGCGTGATTCACCAGGTGACTGGGGGTGAGGCCCGTGATAGTGACAACCCCACAGAGGGGATAATGCAGCTGTTGTGTGTTTCACGACCCTGAAAGCGTCCAGAGAAGCAGAAAGCACTGTGGGACAGGTCTGTTGCGGGGGAGGCTGAAGCAGCCCTGGGGTGAGTGGGAGGTGCTCATGCTGGGGTGGGGGGGGTGCACCCTTGGAGTATATCTACACTGCAGCTGGGAGGTACTAAAATTAGCAGCATGGACATTGCGGCTCTGGCAGAGGCTCAGGCTAGCTGCCCCTGCCAAGTCCCCCCAAAGCCCTGAGTTTGAGCTCATGTGCCGCAATGTCCACACTGCTATTTTTAGGTGCTAGCTTGAACTGTCCTCCTGGGCTAGGCCCCATCCCCACAGTGGCAGCATGGCTTTGGGGGCCATAGCCCATTTGGAGTAGTGCTTGAAAGAGCCAGGAAGCAGGGCGGGGAGGCATGTCAGAGTGGAGCTGGGATTGTCCAAGCAGCTGATGGGAGTTTGTGGCCCAGACCCATCTCCAGCCAGTGGACTAGGGGCTCTTTAGGGTATCTGGGCTAGTCCACCCTGAGCTTCCACGGTGCCACGTTAAGCCTCTGTTTACCTGCCTGGCCCACCAGGGCACTGCTGCCTCCTGATTCCTGGCAGGTCCTGCCCTCTGCAGCCCTGCCAAGGGGCTCTGGCCTGGAGTGCACTCAGTCAGGGGTTTCCTCAGCCTGCCCCAGGCCAGAGGGCTGATCCTAGTTGAGTGCCCCAGAGGCCTTTTGCCATGTGTGCCCCTGGGCTTCAAGAACTATTGGCTGTGATGAAACTGATTCTGCTCCCCGCCATCCTGCAAGATGGTAAAGAAGCCCCAGCCTGCCTCTGGGAAGGCAGCAGCTACCCGGGAGGTGTGATGGGGTGTGGGAGCAGACAGGGCTGACGAGGGGCCCTGCAGCCAAGGACTGAACAGAGGTTCCCAAGGGCACAGAGCCAGCAGCCAGCCCAGAAGCCTGACAAAGGTCAGTGCAGACAAGTGCCCCACTCCCAGGTCACACTCTGGCTGGGGGCTGGAGATGAGGAGAAGGGCCCTCTGTACAGCAGGGCTGGGGGCCTCGGAGCTGGAGTCCCACAGCAGCACACTGGCTGGAGCCCCGCAGGGTACAAAGCCACAGCCAGGGGACAATGCAGAGGGGACATCGTGGGCTGACCATGGCCAGAAAACTGTCAGGCGCCTGTTGATGGCTGCCAGGGCTGGGCTGGAGCGGGTACCTGGGCTCTAGCGCAGAGAAGTCTAACCTTGCTCCGGAGCCCCCCAGGGCCCAAGCGAGGAGCTGCTGCATTTTATTGGGACTGAGGGGATTACAGCCTTCGCTCTCCTGCCACCCCTTTGCTCAAGCTGTGGGACCCCCTGGACTTGTACCTGGAGGGTGTGGTGGTTGGAGCGATGTCAGCTCCTGCCCCTGATCACAGTGCACCTGGTGCTCCCAAGTCCCTGTGAGCTCCCAGCACCAGCAGCCGCACTGACTCCTCTGCAGCCCCTCCCCCTCAGGCCGGGACGTGCCGTGCGAGGCCTGCCTGACACTATTAAAATGCTATTTGGGGGATTTTTACAAGAACCAGCAAGTAAACAGCAACTATGTGCTGACTGACAGTGCTGCAGAGCTTAGGGCGGCACCTCCGACAAACAAACGCATGGGGCCGTGTGCTCGCCCAGCTTTGCTGAACCGAGCCAGAAAGCGAACTGTCCACAGCCGCTCGCTCGGCCTGAGGGGCTTGGCATGGGATGGAGGGATGCAGGGGCCTCTGCCTTTGGAGCAGGGGATAAGCCTCTTCTGTGGGACACCCCCCAACCCCTCGGGCGGGGCTTTTCCATGTTGCCCCGTGCACATGTGCCCTACATGGGAGCGTGTGTGCAGAGCATGTTGGCTCGCCTTTGAACAGCTAGATGCCCGAGCTCAGCACCAGACAGACCAGCCTGCGTCCCCCCTCCCTCCCCCCATGCAAGGAGAGGTCTGGGCACCTAAGCCCAGCACCGGACAGACTGGCCTACATTGCCCCATGCTGGGAGAGGTCTGGGTTAGGGGGTAGGACATGCACATGAGCAGTGTCGAGGAGGCTCGTTCACTTGCTGCTCCTTCATACAGACCCCAACCATTAGTCTAGGTATTCATTTGCCTTCCACCACCATAGTGTCTGGGCACCTCACTCTGGGAAGCAGGGCCAGGTTGTTATCCTCACTGTACAGATGGGGGACTGGTGAGCTGCTTCTGCCTGCTTTGCTTAGCGCTGTGGCTGCCATGTCCCACCATGTGGCACAGCTGTGGCCTGAGGACTAGTATTGCTTAGGTGAGTGGATTTGGGTCTGTTGGGAGGTGGGCCCTGGGGATGGGAGTCCTTGCTGCCTCTCCAGCACAGGCTCAGGGTGGACTGCAGTAATGGCAGAGCCTTCTTCCCACAGTGGTGCTGCCCCAGGGGTAGGAAGACAGTCCAGTTTGCTGGGCGCCTCCAGCCAGTCAGTCACCATGGAGTCATAAACCTAGCCACGAGGAGCCGGACAGAGACTCACCACGTCTCCTCAGAGGAGACAGATCATTGCTGGGCACCATCAGTCTGCGGTCAGCAGAGATTTCCCCCTCCCTCCCCCAGCCCAAGCAACTGCCTACCTCAAGTCTCTTGCTGGCTGTATTCACTTCCCTAACGAGCCACTGCAGCTGCTGGAGGATGTGACAGGAGAAGCCTCTGTGTCTGTCAGGGCTACACTGCTCCAGAGCTTTGAAAAGTTGCTTCTGGCCTCCACACATATCAAAAGCAGAGTGCTGAAATGCAAAAAAATCTGTTGTTTTTGTTAACACAGATTTGACTATTTACAGAAATTGCTCATGCCAGGAGAGTGAACCAGGAGCAGCTGATCTGGTGTAGCCTGCGAGCCGCCAATCGCCCCTCTCTGAGTCAACCTGGTGTGGCCTGTGGGTGGACAATGGCCATTCTAAACCCACCTGGTGTAGCCTGGAGCAGCTAATGGCCACTCTCTGAGCCAACCTGGTGTGGCCTGTGGGCAACCTATGGCCACTCTCTGAGCCAAGCTGGCATGGACTGGGACTCTGCGCTAGCTGCTAAGCCACTGCTTGGAATTCAAACTCTTGCTATCTGGATGGTTATGGGACTATTTGGGGGGCAGGGTGCACATGTCTGATGTACCCCTCCATCAGTGTGATTGGCAAGCGCAGTCAGAGATAACATGGGAATAGCATAGCTAACAGTTCAAGGCTTAAAAATGGTTTGTGTTCTCTTTTTTTATCTCCACAATACCCTTGGCACTGGGACCAGACAAGCACCCACTGCCTCAGCCATGCATTGAGCCACTGCACCTGAGATCTTTATGCAACCGAGTGCACCACGAATATGAATGCAACTGCATGCGCCTTATGTAAAAATACCATCCTAAATGCCCAGTCATGTGGCAAAGGTGGGCCGTGTGTGCATTTTGCAGGGAAGCACCTCCAAATTCAGCTTCCGAGTGCACACACACTCGCATCAGTAACTGACTGAAGATCAAGCCCCACGTCTTGGATAAGGGCAACAGTTGACAAGCTTTCTGCAGCCTCAGGAGCCCCTAAAGAGAATCGTAGAATATCAGGGTTGGAAGGGACCTCAGGAGGTCATCTAGTCCAACCCCCTGCTCAAAGCAGGACCAATCCCCAACTAAATCATCCCAGCCAGGGCTTTGTCAAGCCTGACCTTAAAAACTTCCAAAGGAGGAGATTCCACCACCTCCCTAGGTAACGCATTCCAGTGTTTCACCATCCTCCTAGTGAAAAAGTTTTTCCTAATATCCAACCTAAACCTCCCCCACTGCAACTTGTGCCCATTACTCCTTGTTCTGTCATCTGCTACCACTGAGAACAGTCTAGAGCCATCCTCTTTGGAACCCCCTTTCAGGTAGTTGAAAGCAGCTATCAAATCCCCCTTCATTTTTCTCTTCCGCAGACTAAACAATCCCAGTTCCCTCAGGCTCTCCTCATAAGTCATGTGTTCCAGACCCATAATAATTTTTGTTGCCCTCCGCTGGACGTTTTCCAATTTTTCCACATCCTTCTTGTAGTGTGGGGCCCAAAACTGGACACAGTACTCCAGATGAGGCCTCACCAATGTTGAATAGAGGGGAACGATCACGTCCCTCGATCTGCTGGCCCCTACATATACATCCCAAAATGTCATTGGCCTTCTTGGCAACAAGGACATACTGTTGACTCATATCCAGCTTCTCGTCCACTGTCACCCCTAGGTCCTTCTCTGCAGAACTGCTGCCTAGCCATTCGGTCCCTAGTCTGTAGCGGTGCATTGGGATTCTTCCGTCCTAAGTGCAGGACTCTGCACTTGTCCTTGTTGACCCTCATCAGATTTCTTTTGGCCCAATCCTCTAATTTGTCTAGGTCCCTCTGTATCCTATCCCTACCCTCCAGTGTATCTACCTCTCCTCCCAGTTTAGTGTCATCTGCAAACTTGCTGAGGGTGCAATCCACACCATCCTTCAGATCATTTATGAAGATATTGAACAAAATCGGCCCCAGGACCGACCCTTGGGGCACTCCACTTGATACCGGCTGCCAGCTAGACATGGAGCCATTGATCACTACCAATTGAGCCCGACAATCTAGCCAACTTTCTATTCACCTTTGGACAAGAGCCATTGTCCCATCTCCTCCCATCCCCATCACAAGTCTTGCACAAGAATCATAAGGGATGGCACCACTGCAAAGGGTGCCATCATAAGGGATGGCACCACTGGAAATGCACCAACAGGCTGCGGGGGAAGGGTGCGTCACCAAAAGCTGCAAAATCCCACTGCCACCATCACAGCATGGCCCAGACCCTGCAACCCGGCCTGAACTCAGTAGGACTGGACTACAAGTGTGGGGTTGGAAAACAACCAGACCCGGTTGGGTCAGGTCAGCTCTCCTCCTCTGGCTGAGGGGTCAGCACGGCAGTGTCCCACTGGTCAGCCACCACCACATCACTACGCTGTGCGTGTTCACCAAGGTGTCAAGAGTGCCTCTCACTATGCAGAGCACACAGTGCAGCAAGGGCTGGTAGCTGGTAGCAGGGCATGGAGCCGCCAGTGCACACAACCACCACGGGCAGTAGGTGACTGTGGTGCTGACTCAGGTTCGGAGGGAAGGGTCAGAAAACAACTCGATCCTCTTGGGCTTAGGCCCAGGGTCAGTCTGAAAAATTAGGACTTAAAAATTAGTCCCAAGCAGACCTCTAGCCCCAAACACCCTGGCTGGTGTAAATCAGAATCGCTCCATAGGCTTCTATGACATTGCACAGATTAGCAGAGGGAGGAATGATGGGAACTGACCACTCCTTGTGAGAACAACCAGCACCTGATGCATCTGGGTGGGATACAGGCTCCTTGGGAGCTTCCTGCAGGTCAGAGTGGATCATCGCAATGCTGCCTTCTGGTCTTAGCTTCTCTGGATCTCGGCTGAAGGACCAAAGCAAAGGAACTCGGGGGCTGCAACTCCCCTCTCCTCAGGTCCATATGAGGACAGTCATGCTCTGCGTGTGCCCATTCACAGGGGCTCATACGGAGATTCCCCCTGACACTGCAGCCTCTGGGAGTCTCAGCCCATCTCAGTATGGGAGAGGTGAGCAATTCACCAGTGATTCAGCAGAAGAGCAAAAGTCCTCAAATGAGCCTGGCTGGAGGGGCAGGTCGCAGACAGGACAAAACAGGACGGGGGGAGAGCTCCGGGCCTATTAATTGGCCTAGGGGGACATGCAGGCCACAGAAAGGTTTCATAGAATCATAGAAGATTAGGGTTGGAAGAGACCTCAGGAGGTCATCTAGTCCAACCCTTTGCTCAAGGCAGGACCAACCCCAACTAAATCATCCCAGCCAAGGCTTTGTCAAGCCAGGCCTTAAAAACCTTGAAGGATGGAGATTCCACCACCTCCCTAGGTAACCCATTCCACTGCTTCACCACCCTCCTAGTGAAATAGTGTTTCCTAATGTCCAACCTAGACCTCCTGCACTGCAACTTGAGACCATCACTTCTTGTTCTGTCATCTGCCACCACTGAGAACAGCCGAGCTCCGTCCTCTTTGGAACCCCCCTTCAGGTAGTTGAAGGCTGCTATCAAATCCCCCCTCACTCTTCTCTTCTGCAGATTAAATAAACCCAGTTCCCTCAGCCTCTTCTCGTAAGTCATGTGCCACTGCCCCCTGATCATTTTCATTGCCCTCTGCTGGACTCTCTCAAATTTGTCCACATCTGTTCTGTAGTGTTTCATGGTGTTACTGTGGCTTTAAGAGAATGACTAGAAACTCCAAAGTGTGGGAGCTGACAGTGGGAGGAGGCAGCTGGTTGGAGGTTAGACTGGCAGATTGACTGGAGCTAAGATGGTCTATCTGCATGTTAACTACGGATCTAATAAAAACTGTTGTTAAATTACTAGCAAGTAATTAGCACTAACACTAATGGATTACTTGATTATAAACCAACCTATGGTAGCAGCAGTGACGGAAGTGATTCTATGAAAAGAACTGGAAGACATTAAAAAATGGAGGTAAAAGTTACTCAAGAGTGAAAAAGAAGTTTGAATGGAATCAGCTGGCTCAGAGTTCCCATTTCTAAAAATGGCACCCAATGGTGCAGAATGCTAGAAAGGGGTTACAGAATACTTGGGTTTATTTCTGAGGCCATTGGGATCTACTCCTAATGAAGATGAACAAAAGGTCACCATCTTTTTTATTATTGCAGGTGCTGAAGCAGTTTGAGCTTAATGGTAGAGAATGAGCTGACTATGTGTAACCCACACACCTCGTGGGTGTGGTGTTCTGTCCCATCTAGTGGCACCAAGACCACATAGAGAGAGAGATAAAATGAGTCTGCTCTACAGCCTTTGCTAAAAGCTGGTTGGCTTTTAGCTCATGTGGTACAGGCTCATGCACTAAGCTCCAGAGGTCCGAGGTTCAATCCCGCCCACTGATGGACCAGGGTGTGTCAGCTTTACACATGAATCATAGAATATCAGGGTTGGAAGGGACCTCAGGAGGTCACCTAGTCCAACCCCCTGCTCAAAGCAGGACCAATCCCCAATTTTTGCCCCGGATCCCTAAATGGCCCCCTCAAGGATTGAACTCACAACCCTGGGTTTAGCAGGCCAATGCTCAAACCACTGAGCTATCCTTCCCTGCAAGCTATCCCTCCCCTCCAGTTTGTCTTAACAAAACTGGAGGGTACTGGTCACTAGAAGGATGAAGTGTGAAAGATCTCAGCATTACTCAAATGGAGGAAGAGCCTTTTGAACCATTCTTAACAGAAACAGAAGCTCCAGGGTGTGGGACCTGACAGTGGGAGGAGGCAGCTGGTTTCCAGAGGTCACTAGACTGTTGTAAGAGAACTGCTCCTAGGCCTTGTTTCGATGTATCTGAAGACAGATTTGTAAGTCTCTTACTCTCCAATAGTTTTAATACTGGAGCTAGTTTTATTAGTTGCTTAAGCTGCTTAAATTCTAGTTGAGGGCTGAGCAGCATAAAACCACCCCCAGCATCATGGGCGGCACGTGAATCCCCCTCTTTGGGGAGGCTAGCCCCGACAGCCCCCTTGCCTGCCAGAGCACCAAGCACCCCTCCCCACCTGTCTCATCTGCCCCAAGCCCCTAGCCAGCCTGCAGTAGCCGTACCAGCCGCCCCGACCCCCAGCTGGCCCAAGCACTGGGTTGCTGGCCAGCCTGAACACTAGCCTACTTGGGCCACTGGCTCAATCCCCAGGCCAGCCTGAGCAGCCCCAGGC